CCCCAAGAACTACTTTAAAGAGAAATAATAGTGAAAGCAACAGTAAATTCGATGTGAAATATTATGAAAGGAAACAACAATCGTATTAACTAAGATGAGAAACATGACTCATTGCTAAATTTATTAGTGACAGATCAGAGTCTTTGAAGAGATTCAAAAGAAATAAATCTCACTCTCTCATGTTTACAGAATGAAAAGCAGTCAATAGATAGAACGTCCATTGGGAAGGGGCTGTGGCTCAGTGGTAGAGCATCTGCTTAGTAGGCAGAAGGTCCCTGGTTCAGTCCCCGGCATCTCCAGTTAAAAGGACCAGGCAGTAGGTGATGTGAAAGACCTCAGCCTGAGACCCAGGAAAGCCACTGTCAGTCTTAGGCAATACTGACCTTGATGGACCAAAAGTCTGATTCTGTGTAAGGCAGCTTCATGTATGTAACATCGCTAAGAACAACCATATGCCATTCAGTTGGCACATGTTGGAGGTGGAGAAGATACCAAGTGAAAGCATCTTTTTCTTTTTAATATTACAGAAAAGATGTATTGGCTGTTTTCATTGAGGGTGCAGCAGCAGTACCACATACCTAAAGTCAGTCTCTCTCTCTCTCCCCCCCTCTCCCTCCCCCTCTCTTTCTCTTCCCCTCTCCCCCCCCCCCCATCCTGAGAGCTGCTTTTCACAGCCTTTGGATCCAACCCAATAGTAATAAAACAAACTAAAGAGCTGCAGGTATTGAAGAACTAGCAACAGCAGATAAACAAGGATACAAGAGTTACCCCTGCTAAAAAAATCCTAGTCATTAAATGTCTAAGGTGGACTTGTTTTGAACATGGTTTTCCTTTGAGAATACTGGAAAATGTAAATTAAAAAACCTTCCCTTAACTATCCAGCCTTTAGAGACAATACAGATAAGTAAAGGAATGTTTGCATAAATAATACTGGTTTGATTATAATCTGCCTCCTCTCTGATTTATGGAAGAAATAAATTGTGGCAAAAGTATTCTTTTTTAAATAATTAGGTTGTGTCATATATACAATTATTTCTTGTTGGGTCCTTGGAATTTTCAGCCTTTCTTGTGCCTCTTGTGAACATTCTAGTGCATCTCCTATATTATAATCTGTGCAAAAAAATGAATAGGAGATATGCTTTTTCAGATATTTATGCACTGTTATTCAGCAAAGATAAATTTAAAACAATGTTCATTCCTAGGACTTGTACAATTAAATATTCTATTTATTTTACAATGACTGTGACTCTGTTTTCCTCACCTCTTTATTTCTTGAGAATCGCAGGAGAAATCTCTGATATTCCTGAACCCTTTAATGTTATCTTTACAGCTTAGAAAAGCACATGCTATCCCACACCGAAGAAAGGGAGTACAAGTGTGACCAGTGCCCCAAAGCCTTTAACTGGAAGTCTAACTTGATACGCCACCAGATGTCACATGACAGTGGGAAGCACTATGAATGTGAAAACTGTGCCAAGGTACAGTGAATTTGTAGGGTGCCTGGGATTTCTTTTTGGTTACATGTCTCATGAGTTCTGGAATTGAATTTAGCACAGACTTTCATGCCAAAGGGCATGATCAGCACCCTCATGATGGATTAGATGCTTGGCTGTACCACTTCATACCAAAAGTTTGTTGTTGTTTTTGCCCTCAAGTCACAGCTGATGTATGGCAACCCCGTAGGGTTTTCAAGGCAAGAGCTGTTCAGAGGTGATTTGCCATTGCCCACCCCAGCATCACCACCTTGGTATTTCTTGGTGGTCTCCCATCCAAATACCTGCCAGGCCCGATGGTATTTAGCTTCCAAGACCTCACAAGATCAGACTAGCCTGCTCTATCCAGGTCAGAGCTGGTCGAGGACTGAATATAAAGGTAGAGGGCTGGGTGATTGCATGCCCTTTTACACAAAAAATAACTCTGAACATATATAACACTAGATACCCAAGAAAATGATAGAACCTTCTCCATGACATGCATCTTTGGAATGTGCAGGGAGATTTTTTTTTAAATGTAGCAGAGCATTCAAGAGTTAGGCCCACCCTACCTGCAGCCTGTGGTGGTACAGTCCAGCAACAGGTGCATCATAGGGGCTTCTGATACTGTTATTTGGTTCCCAGAGTTTGGGAGAATGGTAGATGATGTACTTTGTTTGTATGAGAACATCCTGATGCATCCTGATCTGTGGGAGCTGGGTTGAAGAAACATTGGTGGCCAGATGAAGGATTAGTTCTCACATGACATAAGAGAGCTGTCCATATGCCACAGGAAATGCCACAGTACGAATGCCGAAAAATACTCTTGTAGGGCTTTGAGATGGTTTCAGTGCCATAATTGAAGTGGGGGGGGGGAATGATCCATTTGTAGGAGATTATATCAGTACGTCTTGGGAGATACTATTTATTTTGGTAGCATTTTGATATTTGACACAGCTTTAGATAATGCATATAATTTTTTCTTGCTGAGATTGAGTCAGTAAAGGTTAACAAAATCCTTGAAATTAGAGATGAGGTGGAGAAAATCCCTAGGGATCATGTTGTCATGACCCAAGATGGCTTCCATTTTGTTTCATGCCCAAGGGAGTTGCAGGAGTCCAGAGATGGGAATGACTGCGCACACGTGCACACACAAACACACACATGCACACTATCTATAACAAGGCAAGGATAAGCTGTGAGTAAACAATGTAGGTAGGGATTCCTGGGTATTAACTGTGCAGGGCTATGCTTTACCATTGGTACCCAGAATGAGGCACGAATACAGATGTCAGAAAGCAGTAAGAAAGACAATGAGCCACTTTGGTCAGCTTGACTAGGGTGATATTGAAACTTACACAGTAGAAGTAACAATATTGTCTAAATATGACTCTTGCCATACTGAGCACAAGTCCTTTCAGCGAGAAAAGCAGTTGAAAAAATCTTAAATAAATTAAGAAGTAAACATCCTTGTTAGAAGATTGTTATTCTTGGGGCAGCTCTTAATATAATGGCTGTAAGTTCTACATTTTCACTTCTGTATTGTGTAGCAGACTGTAAACTTCTACTCTACAAATGTAAACCAGTTTGAGAGTTGGTTGATGTTATGGCATCTTCCAGAGACCCCTGAGTTGTGGTTCTGTGATGGTCTAGGGAATTTGTTACAAGGCGTTCCCAGATCCTTATTTCTATGCATTCAGTTTCTGGGCTTCTTTGGTTGATATCCCTGACATTTAAATGGACCTGATGTTGTTTCCACTTAAAATCAAAGGAGGGAAACCTCTTGTCCTTTCCCCCAGTTTTGCTCATCTTAGTAGCTGTACAGTCCTATGAAATTGCTGTCCCCCCCTCCTCTTGTTTGCATCAAAGTTTCTTGTTTAATCAGTACTCATTTCCTAGCAGGTTTTCACGGACCCCAGCAACCTCCAGAGGCATATACGTTCGCAGCACGTCGGGGCTCGTGCACACGCTTGTCCAGAGTGTGGCAAAACATTTGCCACTTCTTCAGGCCTCAAACAGCACAAACATATCCACAGCAGTGTCAAGCCTTTTATATGTAAGTCTCTTGCTTAACCACTAAGCTTCTGTGTCCTTTCTGTTTTCAAGCAAGAAGCACACTCAGATAAGCATGCTCACACTGAAAGAGTAACTCTTCCATTGAAGTCAAAGGGTCTAAACAGCTGTGGCTGGATGGGAACTGTGGTCAGAAGAGCCAGCCATTGTGTTAGTGCAAGATCAGAAACCATCTACCACCCTGGCACGCCATTTACTTACTCGTATCCATCTCTGTTGTAAGTGGCTTTGCTCAAGAAGCATTGGAGGTCTCGTCTAGGTGTACTTTTGGGCTCTAACCTAGCAAATCATGAACAGTATAATTTCGAGTTTTAACACATTGTTGTCATACTCCGTCCCCCCCGAGGAGGTATTCGCTTTAGTGTTCCTATAGAAATGTAGAGATGATTTAGCCTTATCGTTCTAATATGGCCTGATGGAATTTGTTTGGGACCTCCCTGGTGCTTTTCAGGGGGCAGAGTGTGAAGTTAAGATGGCCCAGCAACAAGCTAGGCTGAATAACCCTTGCTATGCTATAAGCCATTGATGCTGGAATCACTCAGTTCAGACCGGGTTGGCAGTGCCAGTGGTGACTGTCAACTCACTGCTGTGGACACCACTGGCCAGGTTTTAGCTGAACAGCCCCTGCAGCACAGACAGAGCAACTGGGGCTTGGCTCCACATGCTTCTGACCGCCAGTGGCCCTCTGAGGCAGTGGCCCACAGGAAACTTTCCTCCCAAGTTAAATAGCCAGTCTGCTCCTGATACCCTTTGTTCTTTGCCAGCGGGCACCTTTAAAATAGCCCATGGTTGTGAATAAAGTGGCTGTTCCTGTGTTAAATATCAGCACAGTGGTGGTCATGTCCTGTTTGGCTTGAATGACTGGAAACTTGCGGCTTCATGGGCCAGCTCAGATGTAACCAGGGCCTGTTGCTTTGTAAATGAGCCTCACCCTGGCCTAGATGGCTTGGGCTAGCCTGATCTCATTAGATCTCTCAAGCTAAGCAAGATCAGCCCTGGTTAGTACTTGGACGGGGGACCACCAAGGAGGTCCAGGTTTGCTACGCAGAGGCAGGCAATAGCAAAACTACCTCTGCTCATCTCTCGCCTTGACAACCTATGTGGTCACCATAAGTCAGCTGTGACTTGAAAGCACTTTCCACCACAAGGAAGCCTCAGGACCACACACTTCCTCTCACTCACACACTTCCTCTCACTCACTCTCACTTCCCCTCCCTCCCCTTTCTGTTTTGAGGCAAATTGTAGTTTGCCGATTCACGTGTAATGTCAAACTGCGGTTTGTTGCAGAAGTCATTTTGGTGTAGTGGTCCAGCTGGGGTAGTGGTTAAGTGTGCGGACTCTAATCTGGAAGAACCAAGTTTGATTCCCCACTCCTCCACTTGCAGCTGCTCGATGACCTTGGGCAAGCCATACTTCTGTCAGCTGTTCTTGAAAGAGCG